GATATGGGGTGCGGTACATGGCATTTCCATTTCACCAAAAAGTCTGTTTGTAGTTCCGAGGGGATGAACTCGCCGAAGGTAAAAGAATATTTGACGGCACCAGATACGCTATTACAGCAGTAATACAAGTAGTCCGATCCCTTTATTGGAAAAGAGTCGGGAGGCCCCTTTTCTATGTTTTCCGAGCGGAGTGGGCGGCAAGCAAAGTACCTCCAACAGGAGGGGGGGGGGGGGGGGTTGAGGGCATCGACTACAAAACAAGGATCAGCGATGGCAGCAGACCCGATACCAACATAACGAAAATGCAACCAATACAACGAAGACGGTCATGGTAAATAGTACGATTTCCACCAACGCTTCATCGCCACTACCAACAGGAGTACCACACCCACCATCTCACACACAGCACAATAGCCACCACAACGCAAACCACAGACAGCAAGGACGACGGCAACGGCGACGGTAACGGCGATGCCAATACCAATTCCACGAACACATGAAAAAAAAAATAAAAAAATAACATCATCACCAACAGGAAGAAACACCACAATCCGCCAGCCACACACAGCAAACAGCCACCACAACAATGACGACAGCAACAATGCCAATGCCATTTCCACAAACACATAAAAGAAAGAACAAAACATTAACATCATCACCAACAGGAAGTAACACCACACCCGCCAGCCACACACAGCAAATAGCCACCACAACAATGACGACAACGGCGATGGAGACGACGACACCAACCTCATCACCACGCAAGACGAGCCGACGACAAAGGCAAAAGGTATCTATATATTACAGGCTACTTTATTGTAGAGGTCCCCGTTCAAGGGCGCATATTCAAGGCCGGTTGCCCTGCTCAAGGTTGGTGAAATCTCTTGCCACAGATGCTGGAATATTCAAGGCGTCTCGTGCTCTGAATAGCGCCGGGTGGGTGCCCATATAAGGCCATTGCTTGTTTCCCTTGGACCTAGAGCGGCCCTAAACTGTACTCAGCTAGCATACGTACCTCAGGGGGCCGGCCGGAACCATTAGAACCTAAGGACGACGCGGTGGAAAAGGCCGACGATGACGTTGCCTTGCTCCCCTTCCCCCTGTCATTGCTGCCTTTCCTGCCCCTGCCGCCGCTGTCGGCATTCATGGGAGACGATGAAGAGGCAGTCGGAGACAAGAACTTGTACTTCGAAGTGCGGGACCGCCAGTCCGAGAGTGCGTGCCACATCTGTCGGGGGGGGGGGGGGGGGGGCCTGCCCTAATCTTTAAAAAAATCACCCCCCCCCC